TTCGATTGGTACTCACTGTTGTTAAACTTTATTATGCAGGCTAATTCCCACTATTTTGTTATCATCGAGCAGGTATTAATTTTGACAATTGATTGTGTCAGAGCTTATTTACTGTCAATTTAAACCATTGATCAGTAATTGTTCTTCAATCTTATTTGCCAAAGCTTACTTATTGTCTATAATTCCAACTGATGCAAATTCTTCTACATTGTTATTAAACTTAATAGCTTTCTCTTTTCTTAATATATCGGTCCTTTTTATGTAGACATTTAATAACAAATTCCTCTTTTCTTAATAGCTTTGTTGGTATGGAGTCTTTAGATATAATAAAAGAGGATTGATGACATGTCATAATCAGATCATGTAATTCCCATAAAAATAATAAAAATAAAATAAGATTAGATATTATATAATTTCATTACATGTCTTTTACGAGGTGTTATGCTCACTTGATCTTCTATGCCTATGTTGATGGCGAGAGATAATTAATGATCACTATGTGATGATTCCACGTGTTTCATTATAGGTTAATACAGCAAAAATGGAACATAAAAGAAAATAATCAACAACAACGACAAGTAAGACTCAAACAACACAACGGGAGACTATGAACTTAATTAGAGATAGTATTAGTAGTAGTGACTACGCCTCATTAAATTCATTGAAAGTCTATAACCGAGCTTAATAATGTAAGTCAATTGCTATAAATTAAGTTCTTTTTTTTTGAGAAATGAACCTATAAATTAAGTTTTAAACCATGTTTTCTCGTGCATATCCAACATTAGTGAAGGGTTGAATAAGGGCATAACTATGCAGTTTACTGCCAATAATATCATATATATTTCTAAATTAACATTTTTAAGTTAACAAAAAGGTAGGACAGGGAGCCCTAATCAAAAGACATTATAAAAGAGTACATTGATTGAAATATGCTATGTATAGGATGTGTAGGATGTGCATTCAAGTTTATGAGTACATTGATTGCACATCCTATGTACACAAACCTGTACCATTGCTTTCGGAACATTTTTAAGTTTACTGCCCATTTTCTATGTACACAAACCTGTACCATTGCTAATAAGTTGTACGCAAATGGGCATGCTTGAAATTTGAAAATTAACCTGGACATTATTGCATAATTGATAACATTAACTGAGTTGATTAGTGTGATATTTAAACATGTTGTTGATATGCAGAAGGAGTGAAATTTGTTTTTTTGGTGGGAATTTCTTATTAGTTATTGTGAAATATCCTATATTTGCTTTGATTTATTTTGTGTTAATATCTGTAAACTAAAGTGATTACACTCATAAAGGACCTTACGGATCTCAGAGGAATTTGTTTAATATACAAAAATTAATGAGCATGCGGCAAACCTTTACTCTTTACTGAAATTGATTCATAATTGCTTTGATTTATTTGATTGGTACTCACTGTTATTAAATGTGATTGCTTGACGTAAATAACATATACACTACAGTTTGTAAATAATGTACAAACTGCAGTTTGTTCTGGCTCATTCTTCATCCCTACCATGGGTTTCCAATTTCACTCACACCCGCACCAGGAAAACGCTATAATGTACAAACTGCAGTTTCTTCTTGCTTATTATATTTCATATTACTGATAACATAGTCCTTAGGTTTTGAATTTTATGATTGATGTATGAAAGTAATACCTAGACAACCTTCTTTCTCTCTTATTTTTGCATGATTAAGTTTTTTTTTTTTTGAAAGTTCAACCGGTCTAACCACTTGAACTCTGAGTGTAAAGCAACCTGACCAAATTTAACTTATTATTCCAAGATTGTGACTCCTAACAGCTTGAAGTTGCACATATAATTGTTTGTGTCTTATCTTTCATGTCAATTTTGGTCATCCACAAACGTAAGTGTATTTCAGCCTAAGAGAATATTACACAATAACATCCTTTCTATAATGAGGTCAGTTGTGACCTGAGGACTTCTAAACACTAACACAACACCAACTCAATAATATAGCAAACAATCAAGTTGTCAATACTAACATATCATTAATTAAGTTATCAGGTGGTTCTTGCAAAGCCAAAAATACAAGGATAGGGCAAAATTAAAACTGTTCTTCATCTTTGAACCAATTGATACTAGCTGCTCATTATGCATTCGTGGTAACTCTGTGCATACAACAATGAGTTTGGAACTGTTTTGCATTTTAACTGCAAATGTATTGCTCTGTTCTGCATTTTTTCCCCAATTGATATTGCAAATGTATTGCTCATAGATATTACCTTTCGAAATCCATATAGGAGCTAGCAAAATTTGTTTTCTGCAGTACATACATGTTATATGGACTTTGTCACGCTGATCTAATACATTGTTCTATTGCGTGCACTCTCTTTTTCAACATGGTTAATGTGATGAAAGTAAAACTTATAGAACGCCTCATTCCTAATTTTCCCGAGTATTATTTTAGTTGTGCTATATAGACTGTAGTTGCTGCGCATTTTAGATTTAAAAATTGATCATATATGTAGGTGGATTTTTTCCAATTGGTGGACTACTGTTATTAGTTCTCATGTGTATAATTTCAACCGAATGATATTTTTTGTTACATTTAAACCCTTTATAATTCTTTTTATTTTCTGATGTGGGACTCGACCTAGGACATCACACAAGGACACGATGCATGACAAGGTTTTATTGATAGTAGGACTTAGTTTGCTATAGAATTTGTTAGTTACCTCATTAATATTAGAATAAAGTAGACAGCATATTGATATGTAAAATAGACCTTATTTATTACTTTGAATTTAAATTAGCTACTGTATCTTTTTTTTTTTTGATATTTAAAGTTTGGCAATTGGAGAATTGACAGTAAATTTCTCTTTCTATTCATTTGTCTAATATAACAACTCATGAAATGAATTAAGGAAAATAAAATGCTCATAATTTTTTCACAGCATACAAAGAGAGGAAAGAATAAATGAAATATAGGTTCTGGTTGTACAATATTTAAACTAAATGAAAGTTAATGCATTCTTCTAGCCATGTTATGAAAACATCGTCAAACGATTCTATTAGGAAAACTTTTTAAAAGCCCTTAGACAAGAACTACACACAAACTGCAGTTTGTAAATAATGTACAAACTGTTGTCCAAACATCTCATTCTTCATCTCTTCCATGAGTATTAATTGAAATATGGTTTTATTTCTTCATGAAAAACTTAACCATAGATTAATTAGAAAAGTAGCTATCTTAAATACTCAAATTCACTGAGAAGATTATTGATTATATGTTGTCTTGTTTTTTACACTGTATTCTTTTTTTTATTCTTTTGCTACATCAATTTATGCATTTCACTATGTAGAAACTAGGAGCCATCCCTTCCCCATCTAGGATTCTAATCACAAATACTAACATACATTTTTTTTATTTTTTTTAGTGATGGCGATTGTGAAACGAACAGCAAGAAAAAGAACATTATCATTCTGGGGAAGGGATGGTCATCAAATTAGGCTCGCATTCCCCTATCGCAAACCTTCCAAGCTAGAGTATATGGTCATCAAATTAGGCTCGCATTCCCCTATCGCAAACCTTCCAAGCTAGAGTATATGACACATAAGTTAAAAAGAAATGAGACAATAGATGAACACATTTCAAATATGCGAAATATATTATTTAAAATGGAAGTTCAAAAGGAGCCTGCATTGAGTGAAAAGGAAAAAAAATAGATAGACTGATCAATTCCTTGTCGGATGAGTTTGGCTTTATTAAGTATAGATTGCTACTTCTGTATTGCCTACTTCTTTTCACCTTACTTATGATTTCTTAATTCTTCACATTAATTGTAGAACATCTATTTACAACCTCATTAACATGCTAACTATTATTTTATTTTATAATAATGAAACACGTCTCTTTATCTGTCACTTGTGACAATACAGAAGTTGAAATTTGTTCCTCAGATAACATTACACCTTGCAAGAGAAATTTGTTCGAATTTTATGTCGAGCAATATGTTTCAGTGGACTTGATCTCTCCGCAAATGTCAAGCAACAAAAAGGAAAAACATATCAAAATTGAAAAAGATAATTACTAGATTTTACGGAGAGTAGAAGCTATATTTTGAAGGGGAAAACCTATCTGATTTATGATGTATGAAACTTATATTTAGTATTCTTGTATGAATACATATTTAGTAAGCTTTTGTAATCAGTGCAGATTATTTTGGTGGTTTTGGGTTGATAAATCTAAATATTTGATATGATTATATTATGCTGGATAATTGGTTTATCAATATATTGATAGTTATTATTTTCATTCAAATATATATAATTGACATGTATCTCTATGTGCTTTGAATATTTTGTTTGGAACTAAAAATTATGCTTCATGCTAATTACTTGCTACGACAAAATATTATGACATTAATCATAAAGACATTAGGCATTTTAAGCAGTTTTGTTATGAGAATATGAGAATTATATTTTCATTCTTTTTAACAGTTTAATATAAAGTCAAACATATGTGCAGTTTAGGTTGTATCATTTCTGACTACTTACATATTATTACCGTTTTATTTTGTATTATTTTGCTATAGCAATTTTTATATTTTAGAGAAATCCGTGCATCGCACGGGCTTGAAACTAGTTTAGATATAATTTTAGAATCCTGCAAGAATGAGAACCAAGTTAGGGCATGCGTGGGACCAAGTTTTATCTCGATCTTATTTTGAAAAAAATCGTGTTTGATTTTTTTTTTAGAGCATTCTAGGCCTAAAAAAAACCCATGATTAGTTCTTTTTTGAATCACGAAACTGGACGAAAATCAATCCTAGTTCACTTTTAAAGAGCTTGTCAAACAAACTGTCAAAGCAACAACAAAGAAGACAAAGGCAAAACGTGGAAATTAAGAAAGAAAGCGATTTGGCCCAGCGTTACCAGCTACGAAGCATCAAGGAAGCATCATTTCTCGCGAGTTTCAACCTCCTCCACGGCTTTCTTCCCTTCTTTTTAGAGAGAGAAAGAAAGATTCCATAGCATCTCTCTCTCTCTATAAATACATATATATTTAGTGAAACTGAAACCAATAATATTTAATGGCTGAATTATTCCGAAAGCAGGCCGATAAGTATGCGCAGACTCGGCCTACTTATCCGCCGGAGTTGTTCGAGTTCATCGCGTCGAAGACCCCGAATCACGATCTGGCTTGGGATGTCGGGACCGGAAATGGGCAGGCCGCGGTCCCTGTAAGAGCCCTCCCCTTCTCCCTATCTCTATGGGATCATTTTCACAGCTGTACCCCAAATTAAGTTTACGCATTAATTTTAAATTAATTTTGATGAAACTCTGGGGGTATCAATTTTAGGAAACGAATAAACTTAATTTGAGGTATCAAAGTTGAAACAAACAAAGATAATTTTGTTAAGAACTAGTATTAGTCTAAAATTCTTAACATAATTAATTGTAACGGTGTTTCTTGTCCTTTGTTATCAGCTAGCGGCGATCTTCAGAAGGTATCAGCAACAGCAGCAAGCCAAGAGGCAACTTGCCACGCGCAAATCCAAACATACTACAAAATCCTCTCCTCTGCACCGCGCATCGCGGTCCACGTCGCAAGCCCACACGCGTCGACCTCATCACCGCTGGCCGGCAGGCCTCCAGCTGGTTCGCTCCCCACGCTTCTACGCCGCGCACGCTTGCGCCGTCCGCCAACGGCGTCTCGCGCTGGTGGCTACACCGTGCCCCGCGTCAGCGAACCCGTCGACTCCGTCTTCCGGAAACTGTACGAGGAGTCAGCTCCGTTCTGGGCTGAGGAGAGAGAGTTCGTGAATGAAGAGTACAGGACGGTAGAGTTTCCTTTCGAGGCAGTGGAGGGGATGGGGGACACTGGGCCCGTGGAGTTTGTGAGCGAGAGGGAGATGGATCTCAGTGGAGGGGATGGGGGACACTGGGCCCGTGGAGTTTGTGAGCGAGAGGGAGATGGAG